TCTTTTTTCATCCTGGTAGTTCGCTGTGTTGCTTCAGCTTGCCATAGCCTTCGTGCAGCTTGCCCAGATTGCCTCGGTGTCTGCCTCGGCTTGCTTCAGCCTTTGCTGCGGTGTGTTCGAGCAGGCGGCTGCCCATCGTCGAAATCGACGTGAGGGACTGTCGTGTGTGTGTGTGTCTGTGTCTTTGTCCACTTTCGTGTCGGTTTGCTTCAATGAATTCAATTATATCCACCCAATTCATCCCTCCAGGGAGGAGAGAGGGGGAGTAGATGAGATGGACGCAAATCCCTCATTATGCTTAAAGGATTATGGCATTCATCCCAGGGGAGTAGGGAGGTTGGCACTTGGTCTGGCAGCCAATGGGCACTAGACAGGCGGAACATGTTTAGGCGGACAAGCTTGCGGTCGCAAAACACACGATGGCCGCAAACAACCAATCCAGCTGGCAGTCCGTTCGTGACACAAGTCTGCCGCACATTAACAATCCTTTTCATCGATGCGTCATACGGAGTTTAAGATCACCATTAAGATTGTTAAGTAGGCAGAGTGCCTCAACCTCGGGTGGTGCACCACTTGAGTCTGAGTATGGCTAGCTGACGACGGCTAATGAGCCAGAAACTGCCATTATAGCGTTTCCCTTGTCTTTGCCGGCAATACTACCTGCTCACTCATTGTGCGGTTGCTGGCGGGGCTCGAGAATGAGTCCCAAGGCAGAGCGGGTCGAGTGAGTTCTAATGTTTTCTCAACGTTTCCCCTAAGTCCCACGATTTTACTCTCATAAGTACAGTTTGTTCATGAGTGTCGTAGGTCGGACGCCAATTTGAGAATATCTAGGGGCCATAAGGGAGAACCTGAAGGTGACAGCCGCTCGTGGACTCGTAACCAGAGCTCCTCCCCTTAAGACATACTGCCCGTACAAGGGGACAGGTCTGGCTGACCGAAAATCCAGGGAACTAGTCATTCTCTTGAAGTGCACGAAGAGGCAACTTTAGGATCGTGAAATATAACTGCTCGATACGGCATATACTGCTATGCAGCGTGAACTTGACGTGGCCACTGGCCAGAAGGCCCAGACGCCGACTGGAAGACTCCTTTGGGTTGCAAGACAGCACTGGCTTCGACCAATAAAATACCTCGGAGACTGGTATGAGGAACGAAAAATTTAAACTGCGCTTAAAGGCGAGTGTAGTGACTCTGTAGCGT